TGAAGAAGGAGAGACCTTGAGTTTTTTACAGATGGAATTTAGGGGAATCTTCAACAAAATCATCATCTACACACAACTCGTAGGAAACGGGTAAAGGTCGGGGGGGGGGGGGGATGGGGATGGGAGGAGAGAGAGGCGGGTAAACGAAAATGGGAGAATATACGCTCCTAAATTAACGCCTAATATAAATGAAGCATTAATTATACCCTCAATTTGAATTATGGTATATAAATGGTAATTTGGTATGCTGAAATGTAATTAACACAATCCTTAAACATTGAGGGTAATAAGGTTTCATATATGGTATACGAAGGTAAAAATCCCATTAATTAAACTAAAAGTCTAATTCTAAAATCTCCAAAGACACACAAAAATAATGATTCAAAACTACAATGTAAAAGAAAGAACAAAAATTAGACATTTACAATAGCTATAGAAAATAATATTTTACAAGGGTTTTGATTTATAATCTTTCATTTCTATTCCAAAAATAATACAGTAAAACCCTCCTTATATTTAGCATATGAGCAGGATATTAGTACAGGAAAAGCACTAGATATGAAAATAGAAATAAAAAATTTAATCTTTTGGCTTGGGAGTTTATGAGCCCTAGCCTATTTTCATAATCCAAGGAGTGCATTTAAGAATAGATTCCAAGTATCAACAACACCCGCCAAGCACCAATGGGTGCAGTCCAAGTCCCTATGTCCACCATGTCCATAAACAGAAGGATGCCCATCTGCTCTATACTGTGACAACTTTGTTATGTTCAATAAATAAACTGATTTATTCATCCCTCTCAAAACTTCCTCTAGTACCAATTCTTCTTGATGAACTTCTTCTGTACTCTTCAATGGTTGCGTTACTCCTTCACACGTCTTTGAACCTGAACTCGTCGGGCTAATTTTGCAATTAAGTATCAGTTGTTAGTGTATACAACTTAAACGTGTATATTGCTGTTTCAGAATATATAACATAGTAAGTATAAAATATTCGTTGAACTTACTTGTCATGGTCAGGAGAAACTCCTTGGAAAAATACTTTAGTTTTTGTAGTATCTACTTCAGAATCTACCCATTTTGCCCACGTATTCAGTGCTTTCTCATATAGGGTTAATCGAGGTCCATCTTTGTATGTGGAGTTTCCATCTTGAACAAGATCCCAACTGTAACAACAATCTTATTTAGAATATATGATAGTTAAAATTGCAACGCATAATATTATTCTTATTAGACAATGTATAATTAATTAATACATAAATGAATTCTAAATGTGCGGAAATTGATAGTATTAGAAGAGAACTTACGGTTGTTTCCTGCCAGTATGAAGCCACCAATGCCAGGAATCAAAGATGAGAACATCCATATCTTTCCATTGAGCAGCTGAACTGAGAGAGTCAAGCATTAAAACTCGTGTCCCATTGGTCTCCGTTGTAATGTCTACCAGAAAGGCATTTCGGAACAGCAGGTACGACGTGTTGTATTTCTGCATTTTGAAAATGTATTCAAGATTTAAATATGTCTGTGAAAAGGTTGCTCTCTAACTATGTAACGACCGGTATTTCTGCATTTTGAAAATGTATTCAAGATTTAAATATGTCTGTGAAAAGGTTGCTCTCTAACTATGTAACGACCCGACCGGTCGTTTTGAGCTCTAGCGCGTCATTCAGCGGTTTGAGGCCCGGAGTAGCTTCACTTTAGGTAATACGACTTGTACGCTTGGTCGGAATTGAATTTCGGGAAGTTCGGAGTTGATTTGGAAAGAAAATTCTAATTTCGGAAGCCTTAAGTTGGAGGAATTGACTAAAGTGTGATTTTTGAGTAAATGACCTCGAAATCGGGATTTGAAGTTTCCAACAGGTTCCATTGATGATTTTGGACTTGTGCGTATGTCCGAATCGAGTTCTGGATGACTCGGGAGCGTTTTGGCGCCTATTGTGGAAGTTAGCATTTTGGCAGAATTTCCTAAATTTGGGTTGAGGTATTTCAATGTTATCGATGTCCATTTGGGATTTCGAGTCTGGGAATAGCTCTGCATGGTGATTTTGGTATTGGGAGCGCGTCTGGAAGTGGATTTGGAGGTCCGTAGATCATTTCGGGGTCATTTAGCGAAAGTTAGAAATTTGAAGGTTTTTGAGAAGTTTGATCGGGAGTGGACTATTTGATAACGGGGTCGGATTCCGATTCCGGAAGTTGGAGTAGGTCCGCAATGTCGAATGTGACTTGTGTGCAAAATTTGAGGTCAATCGGACGTGATTTGATAGGTTTCAGCATCGAATGTAGAATTTGAATTTCTAAAGTTCATTAAGCTTGAATTGGGGTGCGATTCGTGATTTTGACGTAGTTTGATGTGATTTGAGGCCTCGAGTAGGTCCGTGTTATGTTTTGGAACTTGTTGGTATGTTCGGGCGGAGCCCCGGAGGCCTCGGGTGTTAACCGCACGAGGCTTGGACCAAGTTTGAACTTGGAGAGCAACAACTGAAGCTCCCAGCTTCTGGTGCAATCGCACCTGCGCTTGGACAGCCGCAGGTGCGAGCTCGCGGAAGCGAGGCATGAGTAGCAGAAGCGGAAATGCATGGGTTGGGCCGGCACCGCAGGCGCGAAGAATTTTGCTGCGGGTGCGAAAGTACAGGTGCGAAGATCGCAGGCACGAGAGTTTTGCCGCGAGTGCGAAAGCCCAGGTGCGAAGAAATCATCGCAGGCGCGAGAGTTTTTCCGCGGGTGCGAAACCGCATGCGCGGCGTTTCCCATCGCGGGCGAGAAGATCGCTGGGCAGTTAGTTTTTAAGACGGGGGTTTGAGCATTTTTGCTCATTTCTTTATTCTTTGACGATATTTGGAGCTTCTTGAGATGAGCATTCACCTAGCAACTTGGAGGTAAGTTAATCCCACCTATTACAAGTTAAATACTTTGATTATATATGGATTTAGACATGAAAAATTGTAGAAATTTGGGTTTTGAAGGAAAACCTAGAAATTTATATTTTTGGATTTTGACCACGAATTTGGGCATGAAATGAGAATAAATTATATATTTGAGTTCATGATGTTATGGATAATGTTTATCTTCAAAAATTTGCGGAACTCGGGCACGCGGGCCTGGGATGAATTTTAGGAATTCTTCAATTTGGGTTGGAAAATCACTTTAATAGCTAGGATGTGAACTCTTGAGCATGTATTGACTATTTTATATAACATTTGACTAGCTTCGGGTCGTTTGGCACCGAGTTGAGGATTTAAAGCACAATTTTGGACCGAAAAGTGAGGTTTGAGACGAGGTAAGTCTCTTGTCTAACCCTGTGAGGGGGAAATTACCCCTAGGTGTTGTATATTAATGTGTGCTACTTGTTGTAGGGGCTACGTACGTGCGAGGTGACGAGAGCTTGTACGTAGCTACATTCATGTTATTGTCCGGGTAGGCTTAGGTTCACATCATGCTATAGCGGTAATATTTGAGCAGTCTCTTGCCTATTAAATTCCTATGTTTTACATTTCTACTCGAGACTAGAGTTGCTATTGTAGAGACTTCACGAGTTCATGGTTAGTCACCGAATAATTTTACTCCTCTTACAGAATGTTTCCGTGTTATATATATGTTTCATTGAAAGGTTTTTGCTAAATAAATTACAACTCACACGTTTATTTGTGAGTGGGGTCAAGGACCCGTCAAAGCTTCTTATTCTAATGGGATCGGGCCGTACGCCTCGGCAGAATTTATGTACCACACTCTTATGGGATCGGGTCGTCGCCTTGGCAAGATTATGTACCACCACTACTAGAAATCAGGTGATTTCTGTCCAAGGGTTTCCGACCGAAATCGGTCGGAAATTGGTCAAACATTTAGTCAAACTAGTGCACACTCTCATGGGAGCAGTCTGTTCACCTCGGCAGTTTAATAGATGCATCTATGGTTCGTGTCGTTCGACCCTCAGCAGTGCACAGTTTAAATACTATTGTTGGATCGGGCCATACGCCTCAGCATTTCCGATAACATATCCTCATGGAATCGTGCGTAATATTAGGCAAGAGCCAGTGTATCCGTGAGTTTTCCGGATTTGAATTATGATAATCTATTTGATGAGATCCAACATATCTAAATTTATGCTCCGGTTAAGGAGGGAATTTCTAATGAAGAGCTTGAATTCATTGTATAGAGGGGAATTCATGGTTTGGTTAGTTCATGGTTAACTCGAATAAGTCTTTCATTCACAAAGCAAATAAGTTCAATTTAGGTTCAGTACAATTTTATGCTTAATTTAAATATATATGTTCAAAAATAATTGCAATAAATAAATAAATTCATGAAAAACTGCCTTCGATTAAAATTTTTGCTTAACGAGTAATTTAATACTATATATTCTTTACTTGACTAGATCAATTAACCTTTATCATTCTCGGGTTAATTTTTTCATGTTAATTGTCGAGTTATATGAAAGTTAATTTTAAAGCAAAACCATCAATGTTTGACCTATGATAATCAACGCAAAACGACTATTAATCAAGCTTTTTTTTTCAAAAGCCAATAGAAAATATGGTTTAAATTATACTCCAATATATAAATTAATATGGTGCCATAACAAAGAGAACCATTATATGGTAACTAAATCAATTCAAATTACCTATCGAAAAGATTTGCTCCTGAAATAAGGTATAATGATAGAAGGCAGAAACAAAATAAGGTGTGATATACAAAAGTTTAAAAAATAAAGAAGAAGAAGAAGAAGAAGAGCGAAATTAGCAATAAAAGGAAGAAATAAGAGGAAAATAAAACGAAGAAAAGAAAAAGGAAAAGAGGTGAGGCCCTAGGGCCCAACTGAGAATAAAGGAAAATCTCAATAAGTTGGAAAAAGGAAAACCAGGAAAAAAAAAAGATGAAGCTCCTGCTGATAATCAAACTCGCAGTCCTGAGGCCAGCACCTTTACAAGGGATCCTGAAACATTTACATCCGCGTCTACTTTGTTCATTTTGTTTTTTACGCATATCTCGCATACACGATAAGAATTTTAGTGAAGCGAGCGACATGATGTCACTCTACTTAATAAGGTAGATTCGCCAATATATAGACTATCTCATTTTTTCCTATACCATTTCTAGAAAAGAAAAAACGACTCAACTTCTCATATCGAGTTGATAGTGGAACCTGTTGACATAATGCACGTGGTAGTTCGAGGTATGTTAAACTACTACTATTACTAAAAGGCTACTTCATATAAAATTGAGTTAAATTTTAATCATCAAGCTGCTTAAATCTTAACTTTTAAGTGCATCTTTTTTGAAGATTGAGAAACATGTCATATTTGTGGCAATAAAAAGAAAAAAAGAAACAAGTTATCAAATTAAAAGGTATTATAATTGTTGGAAAATGATTTCGTGAGAATTACGATAATAATATATTAGGAAGAAAAGAATATTATTGAAAAATTTATAATCACTAAATGTACCGGGAATGTGAAGATAGAAGTTCCTCCGATCCGTTTGGAGACATATTTAGCTTGAGGGTCAGCAGCATGAAGCATACAAGTAAGAGACTGCCATTGATTTAAGCTTATTGAATCTCCTACAAACATTATCTGCTTTCCCTTGAATTTCTCCTGAAATTCTATAGCATTAAACCTACACAAAACATCAGTCGAATGCTTTAAAATTCTGAATCCGCCTCTAATTTCTAGGGATGGCAACTAAGCAGAGCGGATTAAAACAATTTGTTTCGACAATATTATTATACAAATAGTGAATTTGCATAATCAAAAAAATATGATTTTTACTATGGTAATTTGTCTATGAATATTTTTGTTGCTTGATCGTGATGCTAATACAAGCTGACAAAGAGCAAAAGAAAAGGAAATTAAAGAGCACCGACACTAGCGGGGTTGCCACTGGAGGATCCATGAATCAATCTATCGTAATCAACAATAATTACGCTTTGATTTTTAGAGTTTATCGTATGAATCATTATTTTCACGTTATTTATTTTGGAAACAATTACGGGGAAATATAGGTGAGACACTTCCCTCAACCAATTTTACCCTATATTTTTTGTTTTCTAATTTAGCTTATTTCGTATATAATTTTAAAAAAAAATTCACCTATTAATAGGTATTAAGAAGATATGTGTTAGAATCTGATTGAGAGTGATGATCATGCTTATCATCACAGATTTAAACATTGTCGAATGAATTAAAGTAAAATTTAAGAACTCCATATTGTTGGAGTGAAGTTTTTAAAAGCTTGAAAACTCATAAATGAATTTTGTGATTTTTCCAAATTTTTGATAAATTTATGGGGATGTTATTTTGAAGTTGTGGTTAAAATTTGAAGTTATTCCGTAAAGATTCGAGCTATTTGGTAATTTTTTCATGAGTTGAAGTTCGTAGGAGACGAAAACCCAATTTATATATATATATATATAACTGTGCAATATTATAATATTGTATACCGGGTGTATAGATACTGTTGAAAAATATAATCTGCTATAAGGCTATAAACTTAAAATATAGCTACATCGGTGCAACGTAATGTACTCTTGAAATTTCAATTACTTAAGCATTCTCAATCCTCCAAAATTATAAACGTTGCTAACATTATTTTTAACAAAGTACATTGCACCTAAACTAAACGTAGTGACATGATAAAACTTTAACCAATACTAACATTTATAAAACATCCTTTCTTTTAATTCTCTGAATGAGACAAATAAATCAAATCAAATAAAGCACAGACAATTTGCACATGATCCGCCAGCTTGGAAAATCTTAAACTTTATCATCGTGTTTGATTAGATTACGTTGTTTTCTAGCTTTTGTCCAATAAAAGCCAATTGTCTTTGCATCTGTCAATGCATATTTCCTTTTCTGATTAAGAGTGCCAGTTATTAACATGTGAATTGTGATTATGCAGATTTAATTTTTTTTTTAAAAAAGCCCAAACTTGGAAGTAGTAAAGTCTTTTAACACTCATAACAAACTCTGAAACTAGCCAGGAAAAGTAAAAGAAAAAACAAAAACAGAAAATCCACGAGTCCCATGATTTTTTTCAAGAACGTATTTACTTATGGGTAATCTTTTTAAGTGCTTATTTCAAAAATAGGTTTGCAGAAAAAGGAGGTGGCACTAAAAGTATCTTAGAAAAGTGAGAGGATCTTTTCCAATAATTGTATTACAGAAGCAAGTGTTATCTAATAATTGTCTATCTTAAAGTTTGTGGAATAAATTCGCCTAAAATACAATTAGCTTTTAGAAAAAAAGTTCTGATAATTCTACTTTTTAGGTAAATATTTGAGTTCATTTTTTCTTTAAAAGAATTATAAGATCTGGGTAATACCCTTTTTGGTAATTTGACATTCAAAAGTACTTTTAGAAAGATTGGCCAAACACAATTTGTTTACCAAATATTGCAAAAAGTGCTTCTTAAAAGAATTGGCCAAACACAAACTGTTTTTTTTTTTTAAAAGTACTTTTGAAAAAAGTACTTTTCCAAATAAGCAGATTTTTGTAGCTTGGCCAAACGGGCTCTTAATTCTCATATATACCATTTACTTAGAATATTTTAACTTTTCTTTCTTCTTATGTAATTTCCAGGTTCTTTTAACTTAAATATTGGACTCTTCATTCCAATTAGCAGTGACTTTAGCAAATTGAAATTTATTAAAGATATCACACGTCGTATGGACGGAGTGTAAATTGAAACACTTGATAGAAATATTTTTCTAAAGAGATGATCAAAAACTTAAAAATCAGATAATATGGATTAAAGAGAGTAGTATTTGTTGTCACGATCAAATACAAGAAGCATACGGCTACTCATCATATTAGCTGAAACAACATCCCATGAGCAGGGTAGAGCTAGATGGGTGAAAGGGGTTCAGCCGAACTACTTCATCAAAAATTATATTGTGTATATATGGTCAATTTTTTTAATGTATATAATTAGTTAAATTCCCTTAACTTTTTCAACTGTTTATTTTTTTTTTTTTTTTGAATTTCCTTGTAATTTCTATTTTTGCCACTCCTATGAGAGGAAGAAAAGGAAGACGGAGTAATAAAAAAACAAACAACAAAAAAGACAAACAAAAAGTCACGGATTAAAACGTTTCCGCCATGAAAAGAGGCAGTTATTAATTGGAAGCTGTGCAGACACAAAATTAAAGTGCATCAACAGAAAACACAAGGTATAACCAAAGCATAAAAACAGCCATGAACGAGGTAAAAACACTTACACACTGTAACAAAAAAAAAAGAAGTGAAAAACATCAATTGAAGAAGAGTACCTGGGTAAATTGCACTCATTGGGCTGCCATCTATATTTAAGATAATCTTTATCTGGCCTGCCATTTTTGAAACAATCAAACTGTTTTTCAATGAACGGACATACTGATGAATCATAAAGAGGATAAGAATCATCATAAACCCAACTCCCTTGAAATAAATCACAGCCGTTGGTTCCTAACTGGTTTACATCATTGATTAACTTCCCATGTACATTGCTCAACATGGAAATAAGAACCACTAGAGCATAAGCAAAACAAAAACTATCCATCACATTTAATTTTCTGTTTATTTTGTCTTCACAAATGGGCGAAGAAAATAATGCTACATAATAATGATGGGAAAGGAAGCAATATAAAGGAAGGTAGCCAGAGAGTAAAAACGAAACGCTGAGAATATGAGAATTTTAAGTATGAAAAAGAAAGGTCACGTGTTAGTTAGAAATGATACTGTTGGTCCTAACACCTATTTTAGCAATTATAGACTAGTAGATTTCTTGATTGAGAAAAGATAAGTAGCTTTAATTTGTTTGCCTACAGATAAAGAATATGAACAAGAAAAGATACTAATAGGTAATATTATTGCATAATAAATGAAAATAAAAGGAAAAGAGAACGGAAAGAATTTGAAACTAATAGACCTTAGTGTAATCAGGTTAGAAATTATGTCAATGAAAAGTTCATGATATATGATGGTCTATAAATTGTTAGTATTACCTATTAGAAGAAGGTCTATGATTTGTTAGTATTAATTACTTAACAAATATCTTGATTTATACTAACAGATTTATGAATTTTCAGTAGGTAAAACATGATTCTATTTAATGTCTTTATTATTTGACTTAGCCTGATCTTTTATTTAAGAAAACTAGTATCTATAAACGTGTGTTGCACGTTAATAATAGCACATGATGGTTTAAACATTTATTCATATGAAGGAACAACAAAATTTAATTAATGAGAGAAATTCTATGTATATACAACAATCATCTAAATGCCGAAAAATATTATACATCAGCATAATACATAAATTCAAAATGAATGGATATCATCAGAACTTACACAAATGATCAATTTGGTCGTGTTAGTTAGATAATTATGTATTATAGTTTAATAATATTTAATATTATGGTATCTTACCGAACACTTGTTTGTAGGCGATGTTTCTTTTGTGTATGTTTTTCCTTTTAATGCTTTGGTTGCTCCACCATAACCAGAACTCTTGTTGTCGATATTGATATCCCTCTTGAAAGAACAACATATAGTTGTTCGTGCAAGAACCTATATTGCGGTAAATATAGTCCAATATTTAGGATGTTTGTCCTTGTGCTTTATTTATTATAATTGCAACACATAAACATATTGAAAATTATTTTCACACAAATTTAAAAGAATATTCTTTAATTTCGAAAGAAGAAAGTTGAATTCGGGGATAAACACGTACTTAGAAGCACATTGACCAGTATCATAATTTCTGCATGTATGAATTTTTATATACCAATGTGTGCTATTACATAAGCTATTCGGCAGATCTAAGTTTTTCAGTAGTATAAGGGGCATATTTTTCTTCAAAATCAACTTATTTGCAGCGGAAAATCAATTTTTAACTTAGTCTATTATATATACGGTGATACTAACATCCGTAAGAAATGAACTTAACAACAAACCTGTATGATAGAAGGCCATTTGGTGTTAAAGTTTTAAGTATTCTTCGAGGTAGTAATTATCGGTATCATATTCTGCTGAGTCAAAAATTACAAAAAAAAAATATTTTTACTATAAAACTTAGTAATCAACATTTTATTTAGTTAATCAACATATTCATTTCTGCTAGCAAAGATAGTTCTTTAATTTCTATTATGTGATTTGCACAAATTGTATTTTAATCTAATAATGAAAATATTCCCTTATTAAATTCACTACTATTACCATTGAGATTGATAACTAAGTGTTCTGGAAGAACCCATCTCTTATTATATGCTCTACTTCGTTTCGGAGACGAAGCAAAAAGTCACTGAATTCTGGATCTGTTCTTACTTTTATTTTTTTGTCAATTGAATCATTTTCGTTTGAAGCCATAAACATAATTTTGGCAAGCTAGCTTTTACAATCGCTGCTTTCGTCAATTTTGGAACTATTAGTAGTACTGACAGAAATCACCTCCTAAACCATTACCTTTTCACCAAATGTTCATTGATATCCAATATATCTCTAAAACTCCTTATTTCGGTCATTCGATGGTTAGCCATAAGCGTTTCATTCCATATTACAAATTTTACTTTCCTTATAAATTTAGTACCATTGCTCTGTTTTGATATATTTGTGATGGTTATTTAAGTTGTTTGAAAAGATATATCAAATCTAAAGTGAGTTGTATGACCTCAACTCTAAAGGTGTATCAAATCTAAAGTGAGATGTATACCTCTTGATCTAACATTTGCAAGTAATGCATGACATGTCAATATTGTTTCGATTCCGTCAGAGGAATCTACAAATGATAATCCCGTTATACCATAGTCGTCTCTTTATAATATGATCTTGAAGCTTATTCCTGTTTAGAATTTAACTTTGATTGTGCTTCCTCAGACACTTGTATGGCCTTTTTGATTCTTAATACTATACTAACCCTTTTTACTTTGTGTTCTAATTTTTCTAATCTCTAACGCTCTATTTATGGAATAAATTTATGTACCCTAAGATTTTGTTTTAACTTGAAAAATAATTTTACTCATAAGATGAATTTAAAAAATAATTGAATTGGATTCTCTTGCGAAATAATTAATTGAAAGATTTAATTATTTGGTGTTAGCAAAAAATAATTTATTTTATGTTGATTCAGATTCTTAATATTAGTTCATTGCTTGTTTTGAATATTTAATCGTAATATAATTTTATCCACCAATTTTTTATTTTTAAAGAGTAAAAAGACCGATTTGACATTCTACTTTTAGATCTTTATGCTTACAGAATCATTAGTGGTGTTGACTCTTACCAACCTTTCTTC